GAATTTAACTGTGGTTGAATGAGAAGTATAAATATATAAAACTCTGATAGTGTATTAGTTTGTACACAAACAAATCAAGACTTTGTGCAGCCTTGATATATGTATATAAACTGAAACAGCTGGACTAGTGCATCCTAAATTTAACATCCATTCATTCTTTTAATACAACAGTCATTTCTGCAGTTTTTGGGGAGGTCACCTCCTAATAAATGTCCTTACAGAAAATCTAACTGCTCATTTTAAATCTACACTTTGACTTTTAATACTTAAAATATACTTTAAGACTTTTACTCAAGTAATATTCCTAAAGGAGACTTTAACTTTTAACAAAGTATTTTTTTGGTATGATACTTGTACTTTTACTCAAGTATCACTTTGTGGTTCTCATGTTTGATCCTAAAGTTTAACACAAATCAGTTTAGAGCAAATAAATCAGCTGTGTGCAACGATGTAAACTTGTGGCCTTGCACATAACCGATAACTTGTAACAACAAAATGGTCTCTAATCTTTCACTGATTTAAAACAACTGAACAGTTTTTAAATCAGTCCACAGCTCCAGAAACAGCTCTGAAATAAGTTTAAAACTTTTATTAAAGCCACTCTGTGGATGTAGACCATGATGCTTTGCAGCTGGACTCAGCAGGCTAACAAGGCTAATGCTAACCATTGATACATTTTTTTAAATAAACTTTATTGTTGAAACAGACAAATCTTACAAGAAAACATACTTTTTATACAGAAGAACAATAAAGACATTTAACATGAAACAGTCAGTGTTTTATATAGTATTAAAGGCATAAATCATATTAAAATAAACAATAATAAATACTGTAAGGGCTCTTAATAACATTAACATCTGGATAAATGTCAAAAATCAAACGGGACGTTATCATAGAGGAGAGCAGAGTTTGTTTCACTCGTTTTCACAGAGTTGAAGAGAAATGAAGGTTAGGGCTCATTTTCAAACATGGACATTAGTGCAGGTAATATTTGACCACAATAATCAGGTTATTCATTATAAACTCCAGTTTTGTGTCCACAGTATTAATGACAAATTTAATATTGTTGTATGTTAAAGTTGGAATATTTAAATTACTGGTCAACAACCAATTCTGAAGATCTTCCAACATTWATGATCATAATTACAATAAAATAAAAGTTTCTCAGTTTCTACATCAGGTTGACAGAATATTAAAGTTTATTCTTATGGATCCATTACATGGAAATGTTATTTAAAATATTAAAATTAAATTATTTTGCTTAAAAGGGGAAATTTAAATAGTTGGATCTAATTTTCTACAATAAAAGAAAATTCTTTACTTTTCAAAGATAATTTTAATGGTATTTGTTCCTAAAATTTAAATTTATTATTGCAGTTTTTGTCTGTAAACATGTAGTCCTGAATAAAGAGTGGGTAAAGCCGAGGTATTAATATATAAAACAATGATCCTTGTCTTGAGTTAATCAGAGCTTGTGTCCATTCTTTAAAATAAAAAAAATATTAAAATGCATCTTTTATTACTAACAGGAGCGTTAAAAGTTATGTTTAAAAATGTATTTCTAATAATGAAGGACTTGTTGGTGAAATGTAAATAGTTTAACTGGAAGTTTATTCATTTCAAAGTCATATTTTAATAAAAATCCTACCCCACTGAAGAATAAGAATATTTCTGAAGGTAGATTAAACCCAAACTTTCAGAGTTTAAGTTTTGTAAAAATCACTGAGTTTTCTTCTTCCAGTGATTTTATAAAGTCATCGTTTCTAATGAAGTGATGTTTGTTCCAAATGAAATGTAATTATTTTTATTAATCAAGGTTGATTGTCAGAATATTCAGTTACTGTGGGTCATCACACGCTTTCATTGGAGTAGCTGACATCTGTGCACCACCATGACAGGTCTGTGGAGGAAAATAACCAAGGTTTCAGATCAGAATAAAGTTTGGAACAAAGGAAGATAAAATAATGTTTTTACATGAACTTCATTTTAAAGGGCTCACTGGATAAAATTCAGGTTGTTTTTCATCAGTAGGGTTTCTCTGAATTTATTAGTGACGATTAGCGAGGTCACCCTCAGTGCAGCTCAGGAAAATGGTCGAAGCTGATGATGTCATCATCCTTATATAAATATAAATATAAATAAAGTTTGTGTGTCGGTTGTTTCTGATCATTTTAGCAGGTATTTGTGCCAATAAAGAATATTTCCTCCTCTGCATGTAAACTACTTTAAACTTTGATTTTTCTTCTTTTTCCTCCAGACCACCAACCTGTCTGCAAAACCATTTCTGTTCATGAGCAGCAACCTCCTCGAGTTAAAGAAGAACCTGAGGAACCAGAACCTCCACGAGTTAAAGAGGAAGAGGATGATCTCTCCATCAGTCAGGATGAAGATCAACTTGAAACGAAGCAGGAAACCACAACCTCAGTGGTGACAAGTTGTATCAAGAAAAGTGATCAGATGGAACCAGAACCAGACAAAGACCCGGTCCTCTCTGAGAACAGAAGTCCCACCAGCGATCCGGACATCTCTGCAGAGACTGAGACTAACCCTGAAGCAGATCTGGAGTCTTTTCAATGTGACAAATGTGAGAAAAGTTTTAAGAATAAATACCACCTAAAAAGACATCACAGTGTCCACACAGGTGTGAAACCATATGTCTGTCAGCTCTGTGGGAAAAGGTTCAAAGAAAGTAGTTACTTACCAGTCCACAGGAGAATTCACACTGGTGAGAGACCATTTTCCTGTGACACATGTGGGAAAAGTTACTACAGTAGTGGTCACTTAAAGGAGCACAAAAGGTGTCATACAGGTGAGAGGTATGTTTGTAAAACTTGTGGGAAAAATTATTCAAGCTCTTCTGCATTACACAACCATCAGTCCATTCACACAGGAGAGAGGCCCTTTAGTTGTAAACTTTGTGGGAAACATTTTAGAATTCAAGAGAAATTAGACAAACATATGAGGGTCCACACCGGGGAAAAACCATATTGCTGTGGGATTTGTGGGAAATGTTTCATAGATGCTTACAAACTAAGGCTCCACACTTTGGTCCACACTGGTGAAAAACCACATTCTTGTAAAACATGTGGGAGATGTTTTGCTACAAAGTGTACATTAAGCGCACACATGAAAACTCACACGGGTGAGAAACCGTTTGCTTGTGACAAATGTCCAAAACGTTATACTGCTAAAAGAAATTTGATAGAGCACATGAGAAATCACGTTTTCAAGAAACCTTATCCTTGTGGTCAGTGTGAGAAACGTTATAGTGTTAAACAAACTTTGATGCAGCACATGAAGAGACACCATACAGAAGTAGGATGTTTGTGACAGATGTTCACACAGGAGAGAAGCCAGATCCTTGTGGATCTTGTGGAATATTAATGATAAAAACAATGTTTTGGTTTGCAAAGGTTCTTTTTGGTGACACAAGAAAATCAGCTGTAGTTTTAGTTCTTAAGTCTTTGAACAAGTGCTGCTTTTTGTAAAACATCTGTATCTGAATGACTGATTCAAAGACTTGTCCTCAGGCATTCTGCTGAGACAATCTGGGGTTTTTAAAATGGAGCTGAAATCTTTTTTTATATTAGTTAATCTGTGATGTCTGTTTTGTTTCAACTCCTGTAGAGAACTTTGAGCAGAGTCGTCCTTACATTCTGCTGTCTAAATGATAAACTTTGATTTATTTTGATAACGGGTTATTTTTCAGTGTTTTGTCTGACAGTCAGGGTCAAACCACTGATTTCCTGTTTGTTCGACAGGAAACAAGGTCAGAGCTGCAGATTATATCTGAGTTTCAGTTTAAATATTTGGAGTTTTACTTTGTGCTGGGAGCCAAAATCTGAGATTTTATGATCTTTCTTCTGAAGTTTATTATATTGTTTTAACTATATTAATATTTTAATTTACTGTTTTGATGTTTTGATGTAAACTTCTGTGTGAATTGTGTTTTTAAATGAAACCTGTCAGAACATTCCTGTAAACATTTAGTTTAGGTTAAATAAAGATGAAATGACTAAAAAGAAAATCATTTCTTCTCTTTTAGACTCTGACCTGGTTGTAAAGTTTATTTACTGATTTTAGCTGTGGTTCTGAACAGAACCTGGTTCTGGTTCTGAACAGAACCTGGTTCTGGTTCTGAAGACTTCCTGCTCCAGATGT